AAAGTGAAGTTAACATCTGACCCACTCTTGGCATCTACTTTAAGCCCTGCCAGGGCCCCTACTCAGTACCTTTGCGCGTTCGACCTCACCATGGCTCTATATGGCTGGAAATTGCTCTTATCCCCCTTCTCACAAAGAGATGCTGAGGTTTACTGTGGTTCAGACACTCTTCTACACCACATGAGAAAGCCACGAGTCAAGAAAGCAAGGTTACTTATGCACAGTGTTTGCACTGACAGCAGGTGAACTTGGTTTGTTCACCTGGTTGCCACATCTCCTGCCTCATTCCACTACGCAAAGGTGCATCCTTTGCAGGGACAGTCAGTATAGATATTCATATCATGTCTCTGAGCTGGTCAAATGGGAAAGCATTCATCAAATAGAGCACCGGATCAATGTTTCCGCTAGCCCTGAAATAATATATTCACTGCAGAATAATGAACCAGCTCTGTAACTCTGGAATTATTATATATATATAATATATATAACATATATGTATAAGCATAAAAAAGGGAAAATATCCATGTTCTCTGCAAAAATCAGAAAAGTTTGATTAATAAGGCAGTTGGCTAATCCTACTTGTCTGGCTCTAGTGACATTTCACTCTGAAGAACAAAATAAGTTTACTCACTACTGAAACACAGATCCCTCCAAGGTGTAAAACTGAGGTTGATTAAGATTTCAGGATAATACTTTAGTACTGTGCAAGCTGCTACTTGGGGGTGGGGGGGGGAAACAAAAAAAGAAAAGCCCCATAAAAATGAAAGAAAATCTCACAGGGGCTTTGCCAGTATTTCATGATGTTTGTTTTTGCTCATAGCAAGCCCTGTTTTAAGTCACAATAATGCTTTTGACTTTTGAGAGAGGATGACCAGCGATTTATTTTGTGCTGTGTGGAAACGGCCCTTTCCGGCAAAAAACAACTGGTGGAGGGGGGTTCTGTCAAGGAAGAAATCTCAACTAGACAAATGACACTACTCAACAGAGCATGGTTACTTATATGTGTGTTTGCCCTGACATCCGATGAATGTTGTTCATTTGTTTGATTGTCACTTCTCCTCCCTTCTTCCAGTATCCCTCCTACTCTCCTCTGGAAGATTTAATCATCCAACCTAAGGTTTTTTTTTTTTTTTTTTTTTTTTTTTTTTTAAAAGGCTCTGTAAGCAAAGAGGCTATGTGAGCAAAGGCTCTTTTAAGATAAAGATGTTAAAAAATAACTTGAAACAAATACCACATATAGTCATGATTGCAATAAAAGTGTTTTGCATATGTAAAGACACACACAGCACAGCCCTTCCTTGCCCCCTCAAGCCACAAGAGCCAAAAACGGCTCTTGTGGCAATGCCTATCCTTGAGCTAAAACTGGCATTGACCCCTTTGGAGCTAAACCAGCACCCAGCACCTTGTTCACATCAGGGAAAAATCAGCTTGGAGCACTACTAGACCTCAGGGGTGGAAGGGGTCTGGGGGCTTGCTGGTACCTAAGGGGTACCTGAGGGGTGAATGTAGGGAGGATGGGACCAAACTCTTCTTGGTGGTGGCCAGTGACAGGACAAGTTGAAACTTGAAGGGGTACAAGTTGAAACACAGGAAATTCCACCTTCATGTGAGGAAGAACTTGTTTGCTGTGAGGGTGCCAGAGCCCTGGCACAGGCTGCCCAGAGAGGCTGTGGAGGCTCCTTCTCTGGAGATCTTCAAACCCACCCGGATGCCACCCTGTGCCCCTACTCTGGGTGTCCCTGCTGGAGCAGGGGTTGGACTGGATGGTCTCTGGAGGTCCCTTCCAATCTCAACCATTCTGTGATTCTGTGGGTGGGTTAATGCACGTTTGCCTTGCTAAGCATCCCTGTTTACAGTCTGATGATTGCTACCTTCCAAATAGCTGCATATCATTAGCTTCATATTCCTGTAAATTTAACGTGCCTGGTGTCTGTGCCATATGTAGTTAATGTCAGCCGGGTACTTATTAGTTGATCTTTAAGCTATGATGCCCAATATGCAAGCAAGGCAATCTTAGCTCCTACTGTACAATCATCGGCTTTTAAAGAAAAGAAAAAAAGAAAAGAAAAAACACATGAAGGTGACGACTCTTCTCTTGACATCCTACCCTCTCCAGTCTATAGGATCATACTCAGGCTTTCAGGTTATATAGCAGGACGGTTTCTTATCATATGCATAACCTGTGCACAGCATCAGGAAAGACAAATCTTTTCAGAAATGGCTAAGTGCTGTTATAACATGGCAAGTAAGAAGAAAAAGAGCAACAAAACAACAACTTCTGCAGCAGCACAGAGAGCTGAAGCAAATTGCAATGCCTTTATGTTGGAGAACACTGACTGCTTCTCTCTCTTCTCACAGCTCTCTCCACACAGTGTGGGGAGCGTTTTGCTCCATATTTCATCTCCAGCAGCACATGTGGAAGTTGCAAATGGCTCTACCATGCATGCCAAAATGTCCATGCTGTAAGGATAAGAGTCCATCTGAATATTCAGGAGGCCTCCTCTTGTCTCTGTCATATAGTATTTTTCAAAGAGATTACAAATACTGCATGGCAAGAGCAATCAGACTATGTAAAAACCTCCTGGGACAGAGCTATATGTTCCCATATGTCTTTTTTTTTTTTTTCCCTTTCTTTCTTTCTCTGTCAGTCTGTCACTGCTTAGCCACCTTAGGGAAACATAAGGTGAACAAGGAGAAAGAAGGTCAAGGTTATCACAGAAAAGTTTAATCCACCCTCAGTGAGAACCAGTTAATAGCTACGGCTAGACTCAAGTACAGACCTCAGTTGGCAATCCTAGTGAAGGTCAAAGGCAGAAAGGAAAAAACGCTGCCCTGAGATCTGAGACAGTCATAAGTAGACAGATGTTCCTAGGCTTTAATGAGCAGTCTTGGCTCCAGGCCTTTCTTGGCAGAGCTGCTTAGCTCCAGTATTTTTCCTCTTGTAGTGTAAGGTATGGCTCTGGTTAGCTGGCTCTGGTTAGCTAACTGCTGATGATTTTTCCATCCAAATAATAGCTTGACAATGAAGAAACCAATTCATAATCTGCAACTTGATGGATTAGGTCATGGGGAATGATGTGCAGTTGCAATCGTGAAATGTAGAAATAAATGTAAATAATAATTGCAGTTTAAATGAGAACCAGTTCCAAAAGTTTTCACAGCAAATCTGACGAAGCTCCTATGGCAAGTTCTACCACCATCTTATTTTTTTTATTTTCATGGACAATAAAATGAAAGAAAAATGACAGGAAATGGACTTTTTCTTAACAAATTCCTCTATTTCAAGAGCAGCCTGGTGGGGAACATACCCCCACTTTCGAAATTCATTTTGGTTTTCCAGCACTGAGAATTTTCTCTTGACAACTTGCTATTCCCAAAAGAAATAGTTTGGACTGGAAAACAAAGGTTCAGCAAACACATCCGGCTCTGAAAGCAAAGAGGATACAAATGTAACTGTTAGCAAGCTGTGAAATCAGTAACTTAACAACGGAGAAATAGTTTGGTTAAAAGTTATGAAGACTTTTAACCCATGCCTTCTAGGACACAGCATTCTTACTGCAGCTGGAGTGCTTAGAGAAGTTTGTTTCCTTGACAGATACACTAGCAAATTTGATACAACCAGGGGCTGAATTCAGTCCATTTTCAACATTTCACCATTGCCCTGATTTAACATGATAATGTGAACGGACTTGTTTGCATGGGATAAGCTCTCACTCTAGACAGCTTCTCACTGCTACAGTCCAAATCCTGCTCTCAGTGAAGGAAATGGAAATGTTTAGGTGGCTTAAGCATAAGCAGTCTTTGGATCTCAATCAGCTACAAGTCAATAAAAAACTTAAGGGCCTCACATTGGCAGGTTATATAAATTCTCTGTTCCCTCTGTGCTCTCAGCTGATACTGCCTTTTCATTTTGGAGGCTATGAATTATGCTTCTTTGAAGTCCTTTCTTAGCACATGAGAATCCCCTCCACCGCTGGTTCAGCAAAGCTCACCCTTTTCCAGAACCGAGTGTGAAATCTGCTTTGTGATAAATACCCGATGGTTCAGGAGCTCTGGGCTTGCTCCCAAGCCAGATTCATTTATGCTGCAGCAAAACCCCTGCCACTGCCTCATCACGAAGGCAGCTCACCACTGTAACATACAACCCAGTCTCCGAGACAAGATTCAGATTCCTTTTCCACCCCCCCTCCTCTGTGGGAGAGGAACAGATGTCCTGAACATCCGAAAGGAGCTTCCTCCCTCCCCATTGCCCTGGCTTGTATTTCCAAGTCATGAGCCCTAAAACTCTTCAGAATCAAACGGCTAGGGCTTATTGTTTCCATGGCATCAGCCTCTTCCCACAGCCACTCCATGCTCAGGATAATTACATGACACCTGCCAACTGGAAGTGAAAGATTTACACTAGGATTGCACCCAGGGTCTCCATAGATTTAGTGGGGCCATCACCATAATGGGTCCCCCTGGATCGGCGGTACACCACAGCATGGGACAGAGACCCAACTCCAAAGCTTCCCACATGCCTAGACCAGGCTACCAGTGATCAGCTCCTGTCCACTTCATGGACCAAAGAGGAGAATCACTGCTCCATACTGTGACTCCATATTCCCCAAGGCCAGGTCACAATTTCTGCCCGGAGAAATTCAATTCCAGTAAGACGGATGTTTGCTTTGCCAAAAGATATTAAAATTGTTTCGCTTGCAGAACCCAATGCAGAGATTTATAGAAGAGGTGCCACAAGCAAGGGTAAACAAGAAAAGGCAGGAAAATAATTATACAAAAAATGTATAAAAACTGAAAGCCTTTTGAAGGTTTTGGCTTGATGTGCAGTCAACTACCTCAGCAGTCTCTCCAAAGCTTGGAGAGATGGAAAATGGGAGTCCACTACAGAAAACCAGAGAAGTAAGTGACACAGAAAAGAAGCTGCTGAAAATAGCAAATTTCTTTTTGCTCAGCATAAAACAAAAATGCAATAAAATGAAATAGAATAAATGGGAGCCTACCTGAAGAGGCTGGAGAATCATAAGAGCTTCTGTCCTTCCTATTCATCCTGAAAGGCTGAATGTCCTTTTCCCTGTAAGTTCCAAACCCTTCAAAGCTTCTTCTTTTACTCCCACTGGCATCATTGTCCCGCTTGTCACTCGAGGAATTCATTTCACCAAACATGTCCAGAGACTCTGACCTTGCATTACTCTCCGTATTACCAGAGTATCTCTTCGTGCAAGAGTCAATGGGATCGTTGCTTGAGTCACCTTTATCTTTACTCTGTGTCCACTGCTGGGCATCAGAAAGTGATAACATAGACAGCGTATCCACTTCAAAGTTACTCTTCGAGCCTTTGTGTCCGGTTTCACAATGCTGGTGCTTCTGTTTCTCCTTATGCTTGCTTTTCTCATTGAACAAGGAGAGGTCTTTATCCGAGCCGCTTAGCCTTTCATTGATCACATGGCTGGAGAAGCCAGTGGACTTGCTAGCAAAGAGACCACTCAGATCTTCGTGTGTCCCCAGTATCCGTTCATCCTTATGCTTGTGCTTATGTTTGTGTTTTCTTTTGTGAAGTCGGCCACTTGAAAGGCTTGTCCCTCCAACCTTTGGAGGGGCCAGAGAGGACTGCATGTCTCCAAGGCCCATTCCCACAGGTGTTTGCAGGTGCACTCCATGTTTCGCTTTATGCTTGGCAGTGGTGGACATCTTCATATGAGAGCTTGCACGGAATTGGGGTGGGGGCACAGTAGGTCTCATAAATGGGGAAGCTGCTCCGAGCGTGTGAGACAGGTACAAAGGAGCTGGATACTGACCATAGTAACCAAGATTCATCATAGGCATTGATGTGTAAGGCATTCCATAGGGTGCATAGTAACTCCCACTGGGAATAGGGTAACCGAACCCTTGTAAAAAAGGCACCTTCGTCATGGTGTCATTGGTTTTGGCAGGTCTACCACGCTTCTTCTTAGACTTCATGTCAGAGGTCCTGCGAAGATAGAGCAATGGGTCATACTGAATATATGGCACAGGGTAGTAGTGATCAAAATTAATCCTGAAGATGCTGGGATATGGATTCTCATGATAAAATGTGTAACTTCTATGGGAAATCCTGAAAACTTGAAACTTATTGATGAGTTCCTCAAGGTCTGCCAGAAACTGGAGGTCATCTCTGTTCTGCAGGCTTTTCCTTTTCCTCTTGTGCTTTGGCTTTTTAATGCTCTCATGAGAGAGAAAGTTATCAACAATGAGATGTTTCTGCTGGTGACCATGCCTGTTCTTTGTGCTGGTGTCAGATGGGATAGCCTCTGGATTGTCCAGGGTTGAGACTCGCTCACCGGAGACAGCGTGACTTCTTTCAGAGAACCTATTTCACAGAGGTGGGAAGGTGAGTTAGCCATTAACCTGGGTGGAGACAGCTTCCAAGTTCCACTGTGCATTCCTTTCTGGGTTTTTGTAGGAAGAGCACTGATAGGTTGAAGATTTGGCATAGTTTTTAACTCTGAAAAATTCGTTTCAGTGCTTGCAGGGCTAAGGTTGCCATTAGTCCCCACTAGCTGTGTTGAAAGCGGATGAATAGCTGCTGGTGACGATGCCACAAGTGACTGCAGGTTGGAAGGCACTGCTGGGTTTTCTGGCTGGCTGGAAACAGGCCTTGAATGCTTGATGGCTGTCTTAGGTTCTTCTGGCTGAGGCTGCAGCTCTGCTCTGGGCTTTCTGCCCCGTTTTTTGCCAATGTAGATAGTCCCTCTCTTGCTGACATTGATCTGCTTCCCTAGTCTGGCATCAATGGTTGTTGGCCCAGCACTAGATGGTGGCTGAACTTTTGCTTTCAGAGCTATGTTGCTGGAGCAGGAGGACAAGATCTGATTGAGAATATTCTTCCTCTTGAGAGTCTTCATTTTATTAATGGTCTTGATGGTCTTCTTATCCAAGACCTCAAGCTTCCCAACCTTTTTGTGAAACTTGAGCTCACTGATGGACTTGTCCTCTCCTGGGACCATCTGGGCCAACTTGGCTAGATTCCGTCTCCTCTTCCTTTTCTTTGTTCCTGGAAATTCACAATTGATTGGACTGACTGGGCTGGTGGAGGTTCCCTCATGAATTGTTTCAACAGTGAGCAAAGGCTGTTTCTTTGGTCGTCCTCTTTTTTTCTTGACAGGTGTGATCACAGTAAGACTGTCTGTATTGGTATACAGAGGGCTGGATGGCGTGATAGGATAGGCTGAAGGAGGCTCCACCATCAGCTTCTCCGATGTTGCCATGGAGGCCTCCCGAAGGATAGATTTAGGTTTGCTGCAGGTCCACCTCCGCTTAGCTGCAAGTTTGGGGTGCTGGACCTCAGATAATTTGCTAGCAGTGGGAAGATCAGTAGGTAGTAGCGTGGATGTCACAGCTATGGATTTTCTGAGCCTAGTGGCACTGTTGGGGCAAGCTTTGTCAGTGAGCACACTGCTTTCAATAGCTCCTAAAGGGGACTCGTTTTCAATCACTTTTCCTGGCTTTGTAGCTCGAAGATCTTTTTTACTCCCCTCTGATTGTAAGCTAGTCCTGTTTACTACTTCACTGCTCAAAGGAAGTCCAGAAGACAGGCTCTTCTCCTGGATTGTTTTCTCTGTGGAAGATTTTGTAGACTGCCTTTTTTTCCTTTTGTGGCCAGATGTATCTGTTGTTGGAGACTTTATTGGGATAGTAATTCGTACGTGACTGGTGTCACTTTCAGAACTGCTAGCAGAACAGGGATTCTGCTTTGTGGACAATGTGTCTAACACACTATCCATTGAGTAACACTCCTTTTTCCCATCCATGCTGTCATGGCTTTTGCTTTCAAATGCTTTCTGAGCACTCTTCACCCATTCGATGTCTGTGGTTTGGATGGTTTGACTTAGCAAGTCTTTTTTGCTGGACTTCTTCTTGCCAGTCCCTGTGGGCTGATCAGGCACCTCCAGCTGCACACTTCCCTCCGGATCGACGAGAGGCAAAAGCCCGTTGCACTCAGAAGCACTGCTAGGTTGGGAGGCTGCACCAATATTGTTGGGTGACGGGACTACGCTGGACATGGCAAGCTCTTTACTGCTGGCTGAGAGCTGTCCCCACGTGCTTCCAGCACAGGACTTCTTTACTTGAGATTTGCTGTAAGAGACAACTGGCTCCGGAGCGGGGACCTTGGTGGCATTAACAGCTTCTCGACCACATTCTGTGTTGACAAAACAATTTTGAGAAGTGGATCCAGTATCAGAGCTTGCTGACCAGTCAAGATGGTGCTGGTTACTGCTTTTCTGCTGGTGCTTTGACTTTAAGGTATCACCGGTGAAGTCTTGCTGGAGACCCGGATCATAGTGCAGAGCAGAATGTTTTTGTGGCCTGTCATAAACCTGAAAGGGAGAAGAAAATGAAAAAAAAGAAAAAAAAACTTAGCTTATTGGTATAATCATTATCGCTAATTACAACTCTATTTTTCCAGGGAACAACAACTTTTCTCAAGCAATGTCCTCTTAAAGGTTAGGAGTCTTTATGAAGTTTTCTTATACTGGAATCAAATTCGCATTTAGATTTATGCATTGTAAACAAGTTTTGTTTTGTTTTCCCATTCTAAAACAATGGAAATACTTCCATAAATGCTAAATTGCTAAGGAAACATACTCTATTGATTTTTAATTTAAAACACAAGCAAAATACTCCTTTCAATGGATGCTACAAACCAGCCTCCTGGTGAGAAACCCGTTTTTCTTTAAAAATAATCCCTCCCAGAACTCAATGCATTGGGCAGCTCAAAAACGGAAGAATTAAGCTTATTGTTGTAAGCAACAAAAACCGTAAACTTATCTAGGAAGTGATTACAAACAAGAGGGAAACCCACAGGTTCATTTGCCTACAAAGCCTGAATCTGCGAAGATTTATTTGCTTAAATTCCCACACAGGAGTCATCCCCGCAAAGTTAGTCTGAAAATCATATGCATAGTGTCAAGTGTGTAAGGCAAACTTGGCAGGTTTGAGATTTGCATTACTCGCTTTCCCATTTTAATAATCTGCTATTTGCAATGTCAGTAAGAGATATTTTCAATACGCTTTCTAATCCGACAGCAGCCCTTCAAACCACAGGGGTTACAGAACAGGCAAAATTACACTGAAAACTATTTCAGAGCAAAAGAAAGTACTTTCTCTTGGTGGCCCTCCTTCAGATGGAGAAATTATGTCTATTATTGCTGCAATCTTTTCAGAATTTTCTTAAAACTGAACAAACTCATTTTGCTTTCACAAACTGACCTCTTCTATCCATTTGTTTTCCCTGTTATATTATTATTTTTAATCTGTGTAAAACTGTGAAACTTATTTCATACATGTACATCAAAAACAACTGTTCCCCATAAACTGTTATTGCAATTACACCATTCTGAACACCAAATAAATGATGGGTTCCTCAAAATAAACATGCAATCCAGGAAGGAACAAGAGTTTTGAGCTCTGAGTCTCTGGGAAGAAAGGCTTCCATGCATTCGAGTGACTTCAGAGGGAGCTGAAAGGTGTTAACCACCCCCGAGCCCACAGTGTATTATTTAGCGACCAGTAAATACACGTGTTATTGGCAAACTTGATGATGATCCATCTTTAGTGTGGATATAAAAACAGACATGGGGCCTTTTTGGAATACACTGCAAGGAGGAAGCTGTTTTGGTCCATTGTCTGAGGAGAGACCAGGGACTCTTAAATCCTGCGGATAGCTCAGCTGTTGGGCATATGGACCAGCTACGCTCAGGGAAAGCAGAGATTTCCAGGAATTGTGGAGTGAGAAAATGAAAGCATGCAGCTGTGGTAGGACTGCAGATGTCGTGGGCTTGTGACACCCGTTTTTTATTCCTCCCAGCCTGAGAAAAGAGCCGAAAGCATAAACAGACCTTGCAGAATGAATCAGTTCCTCCTTGTAGAAGTGACCTCCCACACTGGAGCCACCACGCGGCGCCCGTGGTAGGGACAGTGCCTGTGCTACCGCTTTGCTTGTGAGCTGCCTCACTTTTTCTTTTTTCTTTTTTTTTTTTTTTACTTTATTGTTTATTTTATTTTTAAATGAAACATCATATTCCCCAGCCACCACAATTTCTATCTCGCAAACATCTGAGGTCTGTCCTGGTCCTGCACCAACATGGGGCCAGCTTTCTCCTGTAGGGATTTGTAATCCCAGCAACTCTTCACACTCAACTTCCTCCCCAAATGCCGAGCTGTAAAACTAAATGACCTAAAAAATCCCTTTTGAAAACAGAGAGGGTCCCAGCAGCGAGGGAAAACATCACATGCTGGCAACACCCTGCTCCTTCCATCGCCGCTGCATGCGCACTGCTCTAGTTTAAGAGCAGCAATCATCTCCAATCTATATTTAAAGGCAGTTAATAAGAGTTTGCAGCCAACAACGTATGGGAGATGAATGCTGCTATATTGCTTAGCTCCTCTGGCCTCATCTCCTTGTGCTGCATGCTATAAAGTGATGAGGCAGCAGATCCCTGATGATAACCTTGGCATTGCTGTAGCATCGCAGGCTACAAGTCCATTGTATAATCCACGAGAAAAATGGGCCTGGGTCATCCATGGTGCCAACTTGGGTGAGCATCACAAGCCAAAGGTGCTGCGACCAAGAGCTGAGAGCTTGAAAATTAATACAAAATCAGTCTAAGCCTCCTGCCAAGCTCTTCCAAGCCCCACTGATGGCTGCATCTTCATTCTCTGAACACACTGCAGCTCTGAACAACGGGCTGTTGATTTGCACTGAACTCCTATCCCAGCATGACTGGCACCATGAACAGACTTTTTCTGGGAAAAATGGAAAAGTCTACTCTTAAGAGTTCTTGCAACTGAAATAAGTTGCAATAAGTTTGAGCAACATGAGCCAGCCTAGGAAAAGGCTACAGAAACAAAGCTTGAATCCTATTCCTATTGCTCTGATTGACTTCAATGCAAAAACTTGAGTGTTAGTGCTCAGGTTTGGCAGTGCTGGGTGGACCTGTGATTGGGACCTGTGGTTGGGAGTCCCACATACAGGCTCTTGAAGTCCATCTTCACGAAAGGAGATGGCTCACAGCATTGCGTCTGCCTTTGCAGACCTGCTCCTATACAGACTCTGCCCAGATTCCCAGCAAAACGGAGAATGAAACCATGTCATGATGAGCAGCACTCTCCTCTGCAAGCAGCATCCAGCTTGCAGGGACACTCTGCACAGAAGCGCTTGCTCTTGCACCCAGCCTCATCGCTTTCTTGTAAAGGGCCATTCTGCATCCAGACGCTGCCTCCAGTCCCCAAGCAAAAAACGGGAGGAGATGAGGAGATGTCAGCAATCAGCCAGACAAAAAAAAAAAAAAAAGGCGGGGAGGAGGGTATTAAAAAAATGCATAAAATGCATCAAAGTGGATATAATTTACAAAATATACGCATAACAGCCCAATGCCTGGCAAAAAAATCACTCATGGAGCACGGCACCACCCTGCTCCAAATGCACCTTCTTCCAGAGGTAAAGTGCACACAGCTTGTCAGGAATCTGGCTTGCAAATCAAAGTTAACACTGCAACGCCCCCTCTTTAAATCATTCGCAGATCCATCTGTGTAATGGCTCCTCAAGTGTAATTCCCTATTAAGAGGCTTTATCTGGAGAGATAAGCAGCTGGTTCCCATGTCACTAATTGCTGTCTGCTGTGATTTTAAAACATCTGCACGATTTTGCTCTCCATTTGCATATTCTAATCACCCTGAAACTTGAAAAAGGTACATCATTGATTGTTTCTGTGGGTTAATTAGTACACAGTCTCCTTGTAGAGACAATTTAAAGGCAGTCAGAACCTCAATCAGCAAGTTTGTTTTAAAAATTAATAACATTGGGAGCGTCTGTGGGGATTGGCATCCGCAGTGACACATCAGAGCGTGCTCCGGGGACATACCGTCCTTTGTTATCGCCTTCATGGGTTGGGAGTAGAAAGAAAAAGAAAGAAAGGGAAAGGGGAAAAGCTTTCCTAAACGAATCATGTCACTCAGAATCAGAGTCTCGGGAAGCGTCTGCTTTTATCTCGGGGCCACCCTGGCCTCTCCAGCGAGAGCAAAGCTGTGCAGAACAATGTGCATAACCTCTCTGCAGTCCTGGAGCTTCTAACCTGCTTTTGGAAGCAATTTTGGCAGCCAGGAGATAGCATCTCATTGGAAATCAATGGGGTGAAGCTGTGGCTGCTTGGAGGTACGCGGATGTTTGCACCACTTTGCCTGGCTTGGCTGGATGCTGGTTGCGAGAAGCTGTTTCCAAAGCAATAAGCCATGTGAGGAAGGAGGTTAGCTCAGGCACAGCACTCTGCTAAACCAGATATACTGCATGCAAACCAGACCTTCATTCCATTCAGAGAGCTCAGAGCAAAGCCCAGGCTAAATTTGTACCAGAATTAACTATGTTACAGGCATTAACATAGAACTATACTCAGAAGTGCCCTGGACAGTGCTGAAAATGGGCTTATGGTGCTTAGCAAAAGGTCAGAGATTCAGGAGAGAGGGAACAGATTTGGGTGCTCGGAGGTTAGGTGGAAAATGCAATGGGCAGCTGACTTCCGGAAACTCTGCATGGATGCTTCATGTGGAATTCCTAAAAACTGGAGAAACTCCAGGCAATTTGTTCCTCTTGAAAAACTTTCTTTTCAGTCTCTGCTTCCTAGACATGCATGAAAACATGTTACTGGAGGAGAAAACTCTTTGGTAGGAAAAGAAAACTGAGATCTTTCAGCACACATGAATAAATAATCCTGGCTCAGATCATACTTTTGCTCAAAATTGAAACCCAGCACTTCCTCTCGTGTCCCAACGGGATGGCAGAAAATTGCTCACTTGAAGCCCATCAGCAGAGCTAGAGGTTGGAGGTATTTCATGGAACCTGGTGAGCGCACTGAACCTGCATTACTTGGCAAGCAAAAGACGTCAAGCAGAAGGGACTCCAAGTTGACTCAGAGTCAACTTATCTCTGGCCTGATGGCTTGAAGGGTTTATCGGTTAATGAAATGAGACATGGTTTGTTTGTAGGAGGGGAAGTGCCATCCAGTCAGGCCAGTCCATCATAGCAGGTGGCTGTAATGGTTTCAGGAAGCTCATTAGCTCAGTGGCTCCAACAACGGGAACATGAACTCGCATATAGTGCTTGCTGGGATGGCAAGTAGCATCTTGTGAGAGACCAGACCCTACCACGGCTACTGCACAGCCACCAGAGGGGCTTAATTCCAATTAAAACAGACCCAAAATAACATGTCAACAGGCACTAAGACAAAATTCATGGTTATCATCCCAAAGACGGGGGATTTTTCAGAGGAGTTTTGTCAAAATTTATTGCTCCCAGAGCTCCTTGCTTCCTCAAATCTCTAAG